TATATATATATATATATATATATATATATATATATATATATATATAAAATATGCATATGTAAAACTAAATCCAAGTAAAGTGATAAATCCAATTCTGTATTTATTTTTAAATATGGCAGAGTTGGTCCTCCATAGAGCTGTTGCTCCCAGCTTAGAAATTAGTTGGTTTACTGGACAGCTAATTTTCGTTGTTATTTTTGCAAGTAGAATGTGTGATTATTCATCCTGTGATGCAGAAAGGAAGCGTTTCCATCGTTCATCCTTTCACAGTAGGTGAAATGATGCACTTAGGGGAGCTGCGTAACCTTCACAGTCGTATCTAAAAATCCATATTTATCAGTTCACCGTTTCTTAAACTGGGAGCTCCTCCAACAATCGCATTCATACAAATCATTGGCTGTAACTGTTTGAGTCAGTTGATCAGGGCGTCCTTCCTAAACCAGGAAATGTGAGCTGATCCACCGGGTCGACGACGATGACTTTATTTACCGTGTGGTGACTCCATCGGTCGGATCCCAGACTTCCTCCAATCCAGGAGAAACGGTTCAGCAGGATTTCATCCTCCTGGCCTCTAAGAGGAAGCCCTGCGGCGATGGGTCAGTAGTTCCTCCTGAGGTCGCTGAATCCACCTTTAGTCTTGCAGGACTGACAGCCGCTGTTTCCCCCTCTCCAGAGATCCGTATGTCATCGCTCTGCGCTCGGTGTCCCTGGTCTCCCATCCGCCATTAGAAGGATATAACAGAGGAGAGGTTCTGTGTGCTGGATTTACTATACTGGAAACCAGTAACAACATGTCATTGGTAAGAGGATCCTTTCTCTTTCAAAATCGGTTTATATAAAATCTGAAATGATTCCAACCCCTTTTTTTTGTGCTGTTTTTCATCAGATCAGTTACTATAACCAGGCATCTCCAGAGGTGCTTCCCTACATCTCCACAGATATCGCCGGTCTGTCCTCGTCTTTCTACCACACCTTCTGCTCCTGCAGCCGGTACCTGAGCAGAAACAGACAGGAGCCCGAGGAGCTGACAGGCGAATATGAAGCCACGGAAACCAACGGCGCCACCTCTCCGCTGTCAGAGGCACTGCGCAACACGCAGCTGTAGGAAACCCTCAGACCTTCATGGCCAGTTCATACCTGTTCTGCTAAACAGCTGGTACAGAATCAATCAATGCTGCTTTAGGTCTTTTCTGTTAGCAGCTAAATTTACTCTGAAGAGCTTAAAATATTTTGCATAAAATCACTAAAACATGAAGGCGGGACTTAGGATGATCCGTCACATCAGCTCTTCCAGCCTTTTAACACAAAATGCTTCGAGGTATTTATAACATTCTGAGCCATTTGACTTTGTGGGAAATTGATTTTGTTCTTTTACACTTTTTTGTATTAAGAATATGTCTGATAAATAACTTTAAACCTTTAAGGATAGAGGATATTTTACTATAAATATTCTGTCGCTTTAAAATGAAATGTATTTTCTGGTGTAATATATATCAATAAAATCTGAAAAAATAGAAATCTTCTTAATGTTTTTTATTATTTCCTTGGCTGGGTATTTATCTCTCACAAGAATGTTTTGGTAATTTTGGTTTGATGGTCAAAAAGATTAGTTGTGATGTAAGATTTTTCTTTGTGCGCTCTCTGCTCTGTGGGGTTTTCGTAACACGGCAGGCCCTCCACCTGCAGGCGATGCAAACACCAGGAAACAATGGGAGACCTTCTGCACAGCTGATTTTATTTAGACTCAAAGATAAAGAAGAGGGGCTGTGGACGGTGAGACAAAGCGCTCTGGATGAGTACGGAGGAAGCTTTCCAAAATGGAGATTAACAGAATTAGACGTATAGCAAAGTTAAGGAAAATTATTAGCTAAATAATCTTTTCATGTGCACTGGAAAAACATCTAGAAATATCTAAAAATGTCTTAAATTAGGTGTATTTAGCCTTAATTTGAGTAGGTAAATCAGATTATTTTCCAATGGAATGAGTATTTTTACTCTTAAAATAAGATAATTAGATAATATGCACTTGAAATAAAACAATGTCATTGTGTTTTCTTATTTTAAATGTAAATTGTCTTGTTCTATTGACAAAATGTCTCATTTACACCCTCAATTCAGGAACAGATGCAGTTATTTTAAGAATAAAATGACTCTGCTAGATTTCAATTTTTTCCAGTGTGTTTACTTTGTGTAAATCAAGCTAACAAGAAGTTAATGACCAATACATGTTACATAATGCTGATATGTTTTAAACTGCATAAATTTAAAATGTTTATTTCAAAAACATTAATATAACATTAATGTTTATATGTTTTCTGTTAATAACAGTTGATTCAGTGGCGAAGCCAGAAGATTTTTAGGGTTGCAATAACCTATGAACTCTGGTCAAGCTAAAGATAAGACTAACTATACTTTCTTACAGCTTTTGCTAACAAATAGATGCATATATTAAAAGATCTGTGCTTTCTAGATAAAAGGTATAGTGGATACAATTTTTTCAGGTGTGAGTTCTGGGGGAACAACTTTTCCATTGTCATTACTTCATGGGCGTAGT